CAAGAAAACCGAGCAGTCGAGCCAACGCTTACTATCCGAGGAGAAATAGATCTAGAGATTAGCAGAGGAATATGAATGGAGAACCCAAAGCTCTCTCACCAGAAAACTTTTCGCCGATTTTCAGAGGAGAATGAGGGAAACCAAGCAGTCGAGCCAACGCTTACTATCCGAGGAGAAATAGATCCAGAGGGCCAGAGCTTAGCAGACAAACTTGAACGGAGACCCCTAAGCTCTTGCACCAGAAAGCCTTTCGCCAATTTTCAGAGGAGAATGAGGGAAAGACAGCTCGCGAGTCGCGATGGCGAATTTTAGAGGAGACGGAGACGGCGGACGGGAGACGAGAATGATCCAATAAGGGTTAGGGTTACGTTTTATCATATCTTATATAGTTATATTAAATATGTAATTTATATTTTATAAATATATAATAGTATATAAGTAATAGTAATGCTCGTTTACATTTCGAGCTTAAAAATTTGTTCGTGTTCAGCTCGTTAGGCTTAACGAACGAGCCGAACACGAGCTGCTTAACGAGCCGAACACGAGTTGTTCGCGAACAACGAGCCAAATTGACAGCCTTATTATACATATAATAATATTATTAAAAATAATAATATCTTTAATTTCAATATAAATATGGATAATTATTAAAATCTTGTAGGATTATGCTAATCTGTATGGATAATCAGCATATTTATCTCTTCTCACAAATCAAATATTAATTTGCCTAGAATTTTATGTCTTCGCTTCGAGATACAGATAACTCATGCTTTTGTTCTTATGCAAGCAGATAAGTTAATATGGATATCCTTCTTAGATAATTTTGAATCTTCAAAAGAGCCAATGTTGTTCATTTTACGAATTGGGATAATTTGAGCAACTTCAAAGACGATTAAGGGTATTTGGACCCAATTTACATGAATTCTTCTCTGCAATCTACCGTTTTTATCGGTTTGTGTCCAATTAATCATGGAAGCTTCTATGTTAATTTTGACGATCCAAACGCGTTGGTTAGATCCTTTTTTTGAACAACTATCGTTTAGGCAACTTCGACAAGACTTGAAGTAATCTAGCACCACTTTGCATGACTTCACATTCGACAACCTTTGTCTTCATCAAGTGGCCTTCCTGAAATATTCTCAACGTTTTGAATGCGACCATCTTGCGATCAATCAATGTTTGAACAAGTTTGATGGCAATTGAAGTGCCTTGACACTGATTTTTGTGACTTCACGCTCAATGTCGATTTTTAATGTATATTCGTCTCATGAATTTCATGTATGGAGGTCAATAATACGATAAACTGCATTTCTGTTTTTTTTACTTGTAGTTCAAAGCTTAAGCCATCTACCCAGCCATAAGCACATTTATAATTTTTTTTTTCTGTTTTTATAATCAGATGAATCGCAGCTAAGAGCATCATTTTTAAGTTTTGATAATGAGATCTCATATAGTACATAAATTTAAGTTTGCTTCTTAACATTGGCAGTACATTCTTTTCTGTTTTCTTAGTCAGCATTTTGTTGCTGGAATCACTTTCCCAGATCATGTGGAAATTTAGCAAAGTCTTAACCTAGGGATCGAAACTACTGGGACCGTATATATTAGATATTCATGCATAGTAAATTCAAATTACTGTACTGATTTACGCAAGCTTTCAATGTGCAGCACTTCAAATGTCTGTGCAGGAGAATCCTAAAGATGCTCCGGACCCATCTGATATTAGCAAGGTTTTGGAGGACCAGTCTTTTGTTTCATCCATTCTCAACTCGGTATATGTTTTGGTTCAAGTTATATTTTGTGTTTGTTATTCTTTTATGAGAAATACTGTGACACCATTTAGTAATCAACTTGCTCTTTGCAGCTGCCAGGTGTTGACCCTAACGACCCTTCTGTGAAGGATTTACTAGCATCATTACAAAGCCAAACAGAGGTTTGTTTGTTCCCCGACTTTTTTTAATACGTGTTTTCAGGTTGTGTTGGTTTCAGTTTAATATTGGATGCATTTACATACATAGCACACAATTTTTATGTATTTCTATATCTCACACCAAAACTTCCATATTTACACACAGAGCACTTAGATTTTTAATATCACATAAAAAATATCAATATTACTACTTTTTAAAAGTTAAATATACTTTTTCATGCATAAGTTCAAAACACCGAAGTGCTATGTTTGTAAATATAGAAGTTTAGGTGTGCGATATGAAAATACTTTTGAATTGTGTGCCACATATGTAAATTTCCCTTAAATTTTTTTATAAATTTTTGTTTCTGTCTATGAACTGAACTTTTTTTTTTTTTTTCAAAATCTGTCCACCTGAAGGTGCTCACTTCCTGCATATACTACATACTCTATTTTGTTACTATGACTTGCTCAATAATCTTTTTGAGTTTAATTACTTATATAGTTAACATATTTGATTTCCCTGCTCTTCATATGGTGCATTGAATACATATTCTCACTAGCCTTATGATGAGCCTTAACCAAAATCATAGGGGTTTCATTAGCTTTCTCTTTTTTGTTAAGCATGCTACATGTTTCTTTTTCATGACTCTTTCTAATGGGAGTGCAAATACTCATCTTTGCATACTATTTTTCAGTCTTTTCATGCTATTTTGTATTTTTTTCACGATATTTTGTATTTTCGTAGGGCCTTCCTTGCTTATAAACTTGACCACGAAGTTTCTGAAGCTCCTTTTCTTAGATTGGTCTATTTTCATCTCTAATAATTGTCACTGCAAGAATTCAGTTTTGTTTCTTTATGACTACACTCTTCCACGCTCAGATTGTTTCACCAACATCCTCATTTGGTCAAACCTTATGTCACCAGTCCAATCTCGAGCGTCGCATCAAATTTCGCATCATTTGCGTCAAAATATTTATTTTGCTTTATGGTCTTGTTTGTTAAATTTATAAAATAAGAAATCTTTAAATTAGCATGAGAAGACTAAAGATTCACCCCATTTTAAACCCACATGAATGGAAGAAACATGACAGTTAACTTCAAATTTCACTTTCATAATCAACTCCATTTAATTCTACCTTAAAATTTTTGCAACATATGTACATTAGTAATTGAGTTGCATTGTTTGTGGTATTCTGCAATAAAGCTTTAACTTGCAATTCTGCCATTGGTTTCATGGACGAAATTATTTATTTGCTTTCCCGTACAAAATGTTTTATTTTGTATTTAGCAATCCCTTTTTTGTTGTAACTAAGTTTTTGTTTCACCAATTACAGGCCTTAATTAAGTGTTTTCAATAGCATCAAACGCACTGCGTAATATCTACCTACTTTCCAAGCATTGGGTAACACCACAAGTTGAGTGAGCCAAGTGGGCTGCTGAGAAAGAGATGCATAGGCTGTCTATATGCTCTATTTTAATTATAAAGAATATTTTTTGGGATTGCAAAATGGCAATTATAACATTTAATTATGTTGAAATAATTATTTTTCAAGTTCCATTTCTTTCAAAAATTTAAACATCTTGTTAATCAAGCAAAGTTAAATTGTCCAAATTAATGTAGTATGTATGTTTGTTTTGAATGTTTTTGTGTTTTTAGTATAAATCTAATATGGGACAAATTTAATCCTAAAATTTTAGCTGTAACTCTCAAAGTCTTTACCAGCTAAACTAGTTGGCACCCACAAATTGGATCTGTAATTCTCCAGGTCCTTAATGTTTTTGTTTGTTAACCGATCCTCTCCAACATCAATACTTACTGCCATCGCATTTAAGTTTGATCAACTTAATTCCAAGGTCACAAGCTTGTTTTATGATTTTATTTCCACATCATTAACGTCTTGTTATCAATGATAATCATAAAAGTCTAACTCATCTCTAGTGTTTAAAGGATTAAGACAGATCTATTAAATTGAGGCTGAGCATTCATCTAGGCTCTTCTTAGTAATGTTGTTTGCTTGGAATTGTGCAAGTTGCTATAAACTTACCACCTAAGCTTGTAGGCTAGCATCCAGTTTTTCTTAAACTACATCTTTACAAGTTATTTGTTAAAACTTGACACATCTAATTTTTGCATGATTGGCATTTCTTTTTATTTTGTCCAAGTTCTCTCTTTATCTAGCTTTTTATGCAGATAGCACCAATCCATGTCCTTGTATTCATGTAAAAGATAGTTAGAAATTGTGCATAAATAGGTGGAAAAATAACTATCTATGAAAATCAGTTCAAAAGTCTAGAATCTAGAATTTACACATTTGTAATAGAAAGCTATGGGCCATGGATCATTGGATTGCTGTATATATTTAGTTGTAAATGAGTTGTTGTAGATGAAAGTTGTCGTCCACAAATTGCTGGTTTATTTTAGATGAAAGGTGCTAGCTACAAATTAATGATTAATTCAATACTCTCCTTTCTGTTGTGTTTTTTGATTATGTCCTACCCGTTGATTAGATCAGCAAAATTGATTCAAGGTAAAGCTCTAGTGAGGCTGCAATTTGGTAGTTAGAATATAATATAATTGGGCTAAGTTTATTTTTATTATTTTTTATAATGAAAAATTAGTCTAACTCAATGTATTTAGATATGTCATGCTATACATGATTCGCTACAATTCTTATGATAGCCCATTTATCACATTAAAATAAAAGATTTTTTGACTTGATTGTTTATTTCTTCTTACTACATTATTAATCATCTCCCTTCTTAAGTACCAAGTGTCATTGCCTTGTATTAAATTTTAACTTTGCTTTTAAGGTCACAAATAGATTCTTACTTCGCACGATCAGTTTTACCCCACATAGTACAAGAGCTAGAGGTGGCCACATATAGAAATTTGTTTTGTTGGATGATTATTTATACAAGATTCTTGCCCTAGTGTCACCTTGCAATACCTTGCAATGGGGTTATTAACTTAACGTCGGCTTCAGCATGGTTGTTCATGTACTAGCTTGCAACCCTAACAGTAAACCTAATATTGGGATGGGACGAGTTTGCCCATAAGACATTAATACCTTATCAGCAAGCATACTTTTAATTGGGTTCCTAATTGTTTTTGTTGAATCCATGGGATTTTTTTTGCTGGCTTATGTTTAAGCATTTATATTTCTTGAAGCAGATTTGAAAAGTAATAATTGTTAGCTCTTCACCTATCAATATAATATCTTCTCCATAGACGGTCAAAATCGCCTTTTTTGCTGAGCCTTTCATACGCGCGTTTCATGCAAAATAAAGTAAATAGGTTGACTGTAAGTGTGCTCACATTTTTTCAATACAAAATAAAGTAAATAGGTTGACTGTAAGTGTGCTCGCATTTTTTCAATATATTTATTTATGGGTCATTTGGTTCTTGCTAAATAAAGAATACGAAGTTAGAGAAATACTTTGTATTTGAAATGTAATGCTTTTGAAATGTGCTGGAGCTGTTTAGTTTGGTGTGAAATAAATGCAAGATTACCTTTTGTATTTTATTTGAAATAAAATGAATCCAAAGTAAAACTTGATGGGCGGTGATAGCCGGGTGGCATCGGTGACCAGTTGGCGGTGTGGCGGGCTTATATTGGCTGCTGATGGCGATGATCTGTGGGTAGTAATTGACTCCCACAGCGGGTGATGCCTTGGGCCGCATGGCAGTGTGCTGCATGTTTTTATTTGCATTGCATGGCTTCTAGTTCTTGAAAGTTTAAAATAACAATTTTAAAGTTAATGCAAAGATAGTTTGTCGATACTAGCAAGAATAATTGATAACTTTTTATTGGAGCTTCCTGCCTTGTGAGCAACTGAGGATTTCCCTGTTGAAGTTATTGTTTTTCTGAAATTTAAAAGAGCAATGTGAAAGATCAGATTATGTTGTGTTGTATGAAACCGTCTCCTCTTTGTATTTATTTATTTTTTTTATTAATTGAGATTCTTTATTTGATTTTCAGCCAACGTGGATGCTTGCTTTTATTTACATACTTCTAAAGTTTAGATGTTTGTTATTGCTGAGATTAATGTTGTAATGATTACGCTGAGTTGATAACAAGTTAGTAGAATCATGATTCAGGTTTTATTTATTAGACCAAAATATTTTTATTTTATTTCTTCTGGCCTGATTTTTTATTGATGGAACTATTTGATTATGGATTTCTACAACTATCGCAATAACTTGCTACTGTGTTTGCCTGCAGCAAAAGAAGAATGAAGATAAATCTGAGAAAGAAGGTGAAAACTAGAAGGTGATTATGATGTATTGTATGTCTAGCTTTTTATGTAATATGGACATTTACACGCATGATGCACAATTTTTGTGTATTTACATTTCTAACACCTAAAGTTTGATATTTACTTACATTCACATCACTCGAATCCTTATTATGACATCAAAAATATCACTTTCCTTAACTGCACCTTTTTATAACACATGTAAATATCAAACTTTAACTGTTAGATATGTAAAACCATAAGAATTGTGCGGTACTCATGTAAATTTCCCTATATAGTTTTCTGAACTTATTCTGTATTTGCAGGTCCGTAACGCGTATTATTACTTCGCTAGAATTCAGATCTCAGCTCAGCAGCTCTGATGGAAGGCATGTCAAGTCTTTTTATGAAGAAAAAGCCATTGTTTTTCAGTTACCCATCAATGGAAGCACTTTTATTTTATTTACTGGAATACTTATTTAGCAAATCAGTTTCATGGTGGTTGAAAAACTATACGGATTTATGCTGATTTACGATGATTTCATTCATGTTTTTTTTTTTAAATCAATTTGGAAGAACAATACCATTCTGAACGAGCCAAAGTGAGCATTAGCCTTGCCGCATTCTTCATGTTCAACAAAAAAAAGGGGGGAAATTTACATTTCAGGCACACAGTTCTTATGTATTTACTACATATCACACTTTGAACTTTCATAACTGCACACATTACACTTCGTTGTTCTAAACCTATGTAATAGTGTTATTGTTATATAATATTAAAGGTTTGAGTGCCATGTGTGTCTGCATGGAAGTTAGGGGTGAGATATGCTGATACATAGGCATTGGATTATCTCAGTTTTCATGCTATTGACTTGTTTCATTAGTTTCATTTAATTTTGGCTCATCCTTTGCCATGTTATCATATCCATTAAAAAACAAGAGAAAAAAAGATTTACATGCATTAGGTCAAGGTAATTGTTTGATTTTTTTTATTAGATCTTTATTTTACTCCTAATCATGGTGCTAACTTTAAGAATTAATATTATATTACTAAAATTTTATTTAATTTATTGTAATTTAATCTTTATATATGTGATATTGAACAAATTTATCATAATAAAATCACCATGACTGTTATAAAAAATTTATTCTATTATAATTGTTGCGTGCGAGTAAGTTTGAGGTAGTAGAGATAATTATTGTATTAGGGTTGTGCGAAGATTCGACACTGATAAGAGAAAAACAGGAGAAGGTATAACAATTTTTTAGGTAGAATTTGAAAAAGCAAGACAATCATGAAGCTTAACCTAGCTAATCGATCAATTGTAAGTTTGTACGTATAAAAGTAGACTCTTATCATGTAATTTGGAAGGATCAAAATAAAGCACCAAGAATAGTATTTATCCGCTCACAATATACAAAAAGATTCACTATATTCTGAATGTAATACTCGAGAGTGATTGTCATTGAGAGTTATTGTGTAATGTTTCATCTAATATATTTGGTGTATGCTATCACAAAATATTTGGGATACCGTTACTCAACAGAGTTAACCAACTATGATAGGTAGGGTACGGTTGACAGCGGGCGATGATAGCAAGCAAGCGGTAAACGACGGTGGTCGACGGCTACGAAGGTCAATGGTTATCACCGGATCTTCAAACTAGAATAACACTAAAAGGGTCTCCCTAGAATAATGGGAGCTAAAATAACAAAATCTAATAAAAAGATAAACTTATCAATCTTAACTATCACATCTTTTATTACCCTTACGATAAGTAAAAAATTTATCAGCTAATTATAGGGTGCTAGAAGTGGGTTCTACATTTCCTAGGCCCAACTTCTTAAAAATGGATAATTCATGAGATTGATACTAGCTCCTAAATCACAAAAGGTCTTTCCAAAGAACTTATCCCATAAAGTACATGGTATAATAGAACTATCAAGATCCTTCAGCTTTAGGGGTATTTTTTTTGGATAATTGCAGTACAATTTTCATTTAGAGCCGCTATTTCAAATTCACCTAATTTACATTTTTTTCTATCTAAGTAATCATTCATAAATTTAACATAACTAGACATTTATTCAGAAACCCCAACAAATTAAATATTGATGGTGAACTTCTTGAATACCTTCATAAATTTTTTTAAAAAAACTATCTATCCGAATTATATTTTTTGAGTCTATGTAGAAATGATGGTAGTTGTTTTTTTTGTACTTTTTATCATTTTTTTTTCTTCCTCTATTCTTCTACAGGATGGCCTACGAATTTTCTCAAGTCACTAGGCACTTTTTGATTGTCAGGTGTGGGTTTAACTTCCAATTTAGATTCATGTTCAAAACAATATTTTTCTACTATCTCTTTAGACCTAAGCAAATCTTCCAAATTTGATACTCCTAAGTTTGCCTATTTTATCTTGATCCATACCCTTTTCCTTAGGATTAACCTCAATGTTGCTTGATTAGGTCCTTTGGGATCTATTGCTCAACATGTTAGCTAATTACTCTCATTATTTCTCAATATTTTTTATTGATGCAGCTTGACTATGTAATTGACTACCTATTTACAAAATCAAATCTTTTAAAGATAACCTCTTTTCTTTTAATTGATTATTTGTGATGAATTTGGGTGGATAACTAGTTCTTGGCTTTATAAAGTTATTAGCTTGATTGTTTAATTGACTAACTGATTATGTTAGTTGCTAAACCAATTATTATGACCTATATTTTGCTGATTATTCCAATTAAAATTTGGTTGGTTTTTCTAGCCCGAGTTTTATGTGTTTGAGTAAGGGTTATTAGATTAGTTATTAACTATGTTCATTAACTCCACATTTGAGATACGAGGGTCACCTACTAATCCATACAGAGTCTCATCGCTCATAGGTGCCCCATGTAATTTATTTAAACTTAGGTTGTCTAATTTATTTGATATAGATATCATTTGTGTAGTTAGAATAGCTAATAAAGTTGTATCATGCACATTAGCTATTTTTTAATGTTCACTCACTTAAATGGCTATTGGAAATTACTAGCCATCATCTATTTTATTAAACTATAGTTCTCCTCAAATAATTTAGACATTAATGCGCCTCTAACTACAACATATATGGTCAATCTCAATAACCACACTAGCTCAATATTGAAAGTTTATATTATAGACCAATCTGGTTGGGCATAGTGTTGGTACTTCTTAAATAGTTTCATAAACCTCTCTCAAAACTCATAGACTCTGAAAATATCTAGGTAAATGAAGTGACATCATTCCTTAGTTTGACAATCTTAAAAGGTGGCATATACATAATTAAGAATTTTTAGACCAAATCATTATAGGTTGTAATAGATTCAAGAGTTAATGAATTCAACCGCATCTTAGCTTTTTCTCTTAGTAAAAATAGGAAAAATCTAAGTCTAACAACTGCATTATAGACATTGTTATACTTGAAAGTTATGTAAATCTCCAAGAAACTAACTATTATAGGTTGGAGTCTTCTACATGTGAGCTGCAAAATTGACTATTATGAAATATTTAAATAATTACAGGATTATGCTCAAAATTATTTGCCTGGATGGTATATCTATTAATATTCTAGTGAATTTCCTCTGTCAACAGGTTTATAAAATCTCTAAGTGGTATATAACGATTGTTTTCTTTCTAGGGGTTTGTAATGTCTCCTAAAGAATTTTTAATCTTTTTCATTTTAAAAAAGTTCTTAGCAATTTTTTTTTCTATTTTAGGGTCAAATGACCCCTAATCAGTGTATTTAATCCTACACAAGCACTAAGTTTCATAAACAAAAAAAGTAACATTTCATCACAATAACATATACATAATTATGCAGCACATAGATAACACCAACATGAAAGATTTCAACAAATCAAAGTTTGTGTTGCAATGGTAGCAGTGGTGTTGTGACATTGGTGCAATTTTAACATATACAAAGAAAATCAACAGTAAATATTAGGAGATCACTATGCAACAAGATATAGAGGTAAATGCAAGGAAATTTGCCCAATGACAAAACTAAACTAAATAAAATGAATTAGAAAAAAAAATGTTTGTTTACTAATGTTAAATTTCAAATTTTCAAAATCATACAATTTGAACATCGACAATGATGTCAAAAATTTGATATAACTTCACACAAACAAACACAAGTACATGTGTCATTCAAGTAATACAGTAGATTTGATTCAAACATCATTCTCAAAAGGACAAATGGTGAATTTTAAAATGAAGTTAAACATTAGCTCAAAACCTTATTTTCTATTCAAAATAATATTTTTTGGAATATATTAATTTTTTAATTTTTTTTTTAAAGTGATTAAATACTTAAATATATAAAAATTCTAATTTATAAATTAATGTCTGTGAAAAGGTTTTAGTTAAAATTGCTAGTCAGTCAATAACATATATGATTTAAAGCCTCTATTGATAGCAAAAGAAAATCCTAATTTGCAAAATACTAAAGCAATATGTCTATGCATTTAGGGAATTTCAAAATTGATTTATGTTATTTTCCTAAATGACTACTATGCTCAAAAATAATATTTCTATTATCCAAAATCAAGTTGTGATTTTTCTACTATAAATTAAGACTATCAAAATCTTTAATTTACATGAAGTTCTAAAAATATGTGTGATTACCACTTACTACTAAATTAATTGGGATGAAAACATAAACAAGCCTTCAACTTAACATGCAATTATATTATAATCACTAGGGCTGTCAAAACGGCTCGTTGTTCGAAATTTTAGCGAGCCGAACACGAACTAAGATGTGTTCGTTCGTGTTCGGCTCGTTTACACCCCTAATAATCACAACATTTAATTTTTAAACTACCAATTCATAAAAGAAGAAATATTTAGCCTAACACGATTCCACAAAAGATAAGGCAATCTTCATTTTACCAAAATAATGAGGGTTCATAAAGATTTAACAAAGAAAATATTTTCCAACAATGTATGGAAAGATGAAGCCCCCTCAGCTTCACCGTCTCCTTGCTTCACTAAGCCAAGCAGCCTCACTGCACTCATCCACTCTAAACACACTCTCACTCACTCATACTCACACTAAGCAGTACCTCTGACTCGCTACTATCCAACACTCTTCTTTAGATTCTGCTCATTCCTTCTTTTAAAGTTTTTCCACCTACCAATCCAACTTCCTTTCCAGCTATTGAATTCAAAATTTCAAGTGAATAACTATTCCTATTGTGTCGTCATATTGTGACACTAATTTTACGATGCTAGACTAATACCGAGGCACTTGAGGTCTACCACTGCAACTTCAAGCTCTCAATAAAAATAATGTTAAGAGAACCCAACATGGTGCCAGATACCAGGCAAGATGTTATGACGCTCACTTTACTTTCGCCAAATCTTTTTGAATTCCTTACGTTTAACTGGGTCACATCACCACCCACATTCTGACTCATTTGATTGCGTTTAACTGGGTCACATCACCACCCACATTCTGACTTATTTGATTGCTGTTACACACACACACCCCCACACCCACACACACACACACACACATATATATATATATATCAAGACACTATTCTAGAGGTCATTTTATGTTTATTGATGGTGAGTAACCTATCACATGTCAACACATAATTGAGTGTTTATGTTAGATTAGACAACCATTTATTGGTGGTAGTAGTCGAGCGATGGGCAGTTTTAGCACATTTGTATAGAGAATTATGAGAGACCACCAAGCCTAGTCGGGTGCATATGACCGGTTGCTAACAAATTTGATAGGTTTGGATATAGGAGCATTTATACATAGGGAGACCCACATTACATGTTTCATACCCTAAATAGCTTCAAGGAAAGAGCTTCGATAATAAGTATCCAAGCAATTTTTTATAATCTTGCATATAATTTGCTATAATTTATTATATATTTTAATTATCATACTTTTTCTAAAGTTGGCGCTAGATCAACCAAGAGAGATGTGGCAAAGTGTTGTTAAAATCTACATAAATGAGATTGATGACTTATTACAAAGCCATGTTAATATTATTTTTATTATTAACTATTATCACAATTAATTTAATTTATAGTACCCCCAATTAAAAGATAAATAATTAAATTTGAGAACCCTAAAGTATTCAAATAATGTTTCAAGGTGTTGATTCATGCATATTTGGAGCGATTATTTGTTAGTCATACGCATGGCGACAGGTTGAGTGACATTTTCCAGATTGTGATGGGATAGTTTGGAGCTATACAATACATACACATAGAGGCGATAAAACCTGATTTATAAGAGTGGATGGTAGAAAAAAAACAATGTGTACTAGGTTAACTATCATCACTCTTATATTAAATTATGAGAGAACAACATCACATTAGTTATTTAAATATATAATATTCACGAGAGCAACAAAATACTATTTATAAGAGCGACAAAAACTAAGTCAAATGATACTTGGATTGGTATTGGTCATATGCATCATTATACTTACTAATGGCACAAACGACCTTGCCCCCAGCCTACTATCCAAGAGCACACGGGGAAAGCATGTTGATATGTGTTTTTATTGTCATTGCCACCTATTACAAGTTTTCACTTTTAATGGTTCATATTATTGAATTTTTTGTTTTTTTTCATAGTGCAATTATATTCAGGAGTTAGAGAAGGAATTACAATTGTTGATTGGAATACCTAAAGATTGCCTTGTTTAATATGCTATAAATCAAATTGAAGAGTTATGTAGTGGCATCCATTAGAATACGCATGTAATCGATGATAGGTGTGGAGGTTAAGATGAAAAATATAATATTTGTGCACCAACGCCAGCCTATCCAACCAGGCCTTAGGACCCATGATCGTCCATCTACATAGATACACATCCCGTGGCATATTTAAACATATCATCATCATATATCACCATCAAGGCAACGCTTCTTCATTTGCATGGTGGTCATCATTTGATCTTTCATGGCACATAGAAACATCATGATACTTTACGCTGCCACAAACACCAACATACTTCTTGTGAAAGACTCCTTTTGTGATGAAACCTAGTTCAATACCCAAGATGTCACATTATACTTGACACTATTACATGCCAACTTACAATTATCATAGTAGCGACAAAAACTAATACATTCAAGGTAGGCAACTAGAAACCTAGTTCAATACCCAAGATGTCACATTATACATGACACTATTACATGCCAACTTACTATTATCATAGTAGCGACAAAAACTAATACATTTAAGGTAGGCAACTTCATCATAAGGTGTAGGGGATGTTATTGATGAGCCAACCACACTAGAATATTACACATGAGAGATTACAAATTAGAAATTTGAGCTCCTGATTATCACAAATTAGAGACTTACGTCATACAACGGCGACACAAGTGAAAAGATTAGTGCTATTTTTAGAAGCAATATTCTATGAGTTATATTATATATAATATTTTTTCTAATTAGTAGAAATTATATGAATAAAACTTTATTTATGTGACAACAAAATATATAACATAAGAATTTATTTACCAAGTTTAGGGTTGTGAGATCAATCATGTTCAATTCAATAAATAGCTTGTGAGCTAGGCTTGATGGCCTAAGGAGTGATGCTTGACTGTGTCTCAACTCAGCTCATTTCATAACGAGTGAGCTTATTTAATAAAATATTAATATAAAATACGCTCAAGTTTATCTTAATTAGAATTTAATCAACACCATTCAATAAAATATATTTTTAGGAAATATAATTAAAAATTTCAAAATTAATTTTTCAGTCATAGTTGAATTGTTTTTAAATAAACTTATTATTTTTAATAAAAGTTATAATTTAAAAAAATACGCAAAATTAAATAAATTTTTTATTTTAATTGAACTTATAAAATTTATTAAGCTTAATTATTCTTTCTTTAAAAACTAATTGCATTTCTCCAAAATTTAAGCTTCTTAAGAAATTATATTTTTCATAATAAGCATAAATTTAATTTAAACTATTTTCTAAAATTAAGGCTGCCAACTCGGGCCACGCATGCATAACTTTCCTTCTTCTCTTGCCCATTTCTGTTTTATCGATCTACCCTTCACCTTTGGGGAGTTCTCTCAATCATCGGAGTGAGATATGTAAATACATAACAATTCTGTGCCATAAATGTAAAAATGGCCACCTTCTTCTTTCATTTGATTCGTTCTGGTTCTCCTTGTGGTTTTTCCTATTTTCGGCAACTCACAGTGTTCATTTTTGGGAGATTTCAGTTCGGGAGTCTGGATTCAGTAAACCTTGAAGCGCAGCGATCGGTGGTAACCCAAACTGATCGGATGCTCCATGGATTTATACCGCGCAGACGGAGAATCGAATCACATCCGTGAAAATGCCGAACCCCGGAACCTCGACATCGAGGAAGAAGACGACTCCGGAGAAGCATTCCACGATCCCGCCGCGGAAACCCACGCAGCAGAGGAGGCCGTCGGCAATTTCGAAGAAGAAGACCACGCCTGATAAGCAGCATGCTCCTCAGAAGAAGAAAACACCCCCGGAGAAGTCCAATGCTAAGCCTCGATCACCATCTGCGGCGCTCTGTTCCGTGCAATCCCCACCAGAATCCAGATTCGCCGACGTATCGCCGCCGGCGGAGACGAAGAAAGCTGAAAATGTAGCTTCAGCTGCCGAAGGGGAAGGGGATATAGATGACGACGATGGGGTTGAAATAAACAAATTGGGGGGTGTAATAGAAGCGGTTGGAGCGAACCTTTGCTCATCGGCTGAGGAGGATTTGGATGGCTTTAGGGTGGATGATGATTCGCCTTACAGATCGAACTCAGCTGCGGCAGAGGAGAGGATTTGCAAAATGAAAGAGAATGTAACCGGCGAAGGTTCGGTTTGTTTGCCGGAAAAGTTCTCGCCTCTGAATGAACGCAGATGGAGCGACACCAGCTGCCATGACGCAAAGAAGGTAGTGCTCTGAAACCTGCTATTCACAAATCAATCACCCTCTTCCATCCATTTTCCATTTCCTCACTGAAACATTAAAATTGATGGTAAAATCACAACCCATACTTTTCAATTTTTTCAAATTCGGTAGTTCTAAGAAATTATTTAATTTGTAAATATCAATGTTTCGGACGGGTGTTGTATATGCAAATGCATAGAGATTGGGTGGTTGCATGTAAATGTCTCTTTATTATTATCTATTTATAAATACAGTAAATGATTTTACTCTTACATTTTGAATATTTTTTCGATTAGTTACCTAATGATTACTTACATCTTATTTTTAAAATTTCACCCGGACAGAATTAAGTTATTTTACCTTGCCATGAAATATATTTACATTTTTACAAAAAAGCCGTATAACCTTTTATTATTTATTTTTTTTCAAATTCATTAATAGCTTGACTCAAATATAAATGCATGAATTTATGTAAACTACTATGATTCATTAGCATAATAATCCTCAAAATGTAAAGAACTCTACAATAATCCTTAAAGCTTCCCACTTAGATTTTAATAGGACCTTTTTAATATTATAATTCAGGATAATTATTAATAATTGATCATAGAATATAGTTTAGGCCTTTATCTTGATTTGAGATATGGCGATACAACAACAACAACAACAAAACCTTAATCCCACTACGTGGGGTCGGCTACATGAATCCTTTTTTCTCCATTGCGTCCTATTTAGTGTCATATTTTCATTTAGTTCTAGTAAAGATATGGCGATACAAATCCTTATATATGTTCATTATTATCATTATATATGTTCATTATACAACAATAACAACAACAACAACAACAACAACAACAACAACAACAACAACGACAAGAAGGAGTCTTTATCCCACAAAGTGGACGGCTACATAAATCCTTTTTCTCGGTTGTGTCCTATTGAGTGTTGTATTTTCATTTAATTTTAATAAATTAAGGTCATTTTCTTAGACAATATGCCCAAGTCATTTTAGGCCTCTTTCTGTTTTTCTTAACATAAGTTGAATCTAAAATATCTACTCTCTTAATTGGATCATTAGATGATTGATGTTAAATGTGACCAAACCATCTATAATTACTCTTTCTAATTTCAAAACAAGTCATTATAAATTTAATTATCTGAGTCGCTGCATTAGCCATCAAGTTTCAAAACATAATCCAAGGTTACATGTAAATTGAAAATCGTGACATAAAGTTTTCTGAAATTGTGTGACTCGGTGAATTGGGGTTGAAATGGTTCTCACGGGGGACTATTAGAGCCCCAATTTAAAGAATCTGAAAAACTAATTTGACACTTCTATAGAGGCTTAAACAATTCGGGGACTATTTTGACACTTTACTTTAAAAAAAAGTCTTTTTTTACCAGCTTCTACGTAGAACTGTCAAAACGGCTTGTTGTTCTCGAACAACTCGCGTTTGACTTGTTAAATAACTCGTATTCAATTCATTCGCTAAACAAACAAGCCGAAGACAAATAATTTTTTTACACTTGATATATAAATGAGCTGAAAACGAATTAAGATTTGTTTGTTCGTGCTTGGCTCGTTATGCTCGATCATATATATATATATAATAATAATAATAATAATAATATTTAAATCTTATATATATATATATATATAATAATAATAATAATATTTAAATCTTGTTCCTACTCTTAACATCTTACGACTGTGTAACTAAGGATGTCAAAACGGCTCGTTATTTGCGAACAAAACGTGTTGATATTTTTTAACAAGCCGAACATGAACGATGATACTTTTTAACGAGTCGAACACCAGCCGAGCATTTACACCCCTAGTTCTATCTAAATGTCATTGATAAATTAATATTGAGACATTCATTTTGAAATTTACCCTTTCAGAAGCTTCAAGTTTGGTGTCAGCTTCCAAATGGAGAATGGGTCTTAGGGAACATAATATCAATTTCAGGAGCGGAGTCCCTTCTATCTCTTCCAGAAGGGAAAGTAAGTATTAAAAGTTCTACTCTCCATTTAAATTCCTTTTCTTTAGCTCAATCTGTTGTTTTTTCTTCTAGGTATTGAAGTTTGAAATTAAGGCCCTCTTACCTGCAAATCCTGAAATACTTGATGGCGTTGAAGATCTCATGCAACTTAGCTATTTAAATGAGCCATCTGTGCTCTATAATTTGCAGTATAGATACGATCGAAACATGATTTATGTAAGTATCCACTACATAGCACATATTTCTAATGTATTGGCATATCTCACACTTAAACTTCCATATTTATGCACTTAACACTGAAATCTTTAAAAACACATAAAAAATAACACTATTATCACTTTTTAGAAGTGAAATGCGCATTTTTCACTTTTAAATATGAAAGTTTAGATATGAAAATGAAAGTTTAGATGTGAGATATGTAAATATATAAGAATTGTGTGCTACGACCGTAAATTTTCCTACTTTAAATCCCACATACTATAAGATTTAGAAAGTCCTATTTTTTTGTGTTTTTACAATCTAGTCCAAAGCTGGGCCAGTTTTGGTTGCCATCAACCCATTTAAGGAGGTTCAGCTCTATGGAAACGAGTACATAGAAGCATATAGGCGCAAATCTACATCCAATCCACATGTTTATGCAATTGCAGATACTGCCATTCATGAAATGATCAGAGGTGATCTGTAAATTCTTTCTTTCTAATTATGTGGTAAACATTTTTTTCAATCTCTAACAATGTTTTGTTTTCTTTCAGACGAAGTCAACCAATCGATCATTATAAGGTGTGTAACCATTAGAGAATTTTCATATGCCATAGTGACTTTTGTCCTTTTGCATGTCTAACCTTGTGAGGTATGGATGCTTGCAAAAAATGTGATTTTTGGCAATAAATATCTGTTGTGACAAAAAGGAATGTTTGTTTATTCCTGCAGCTTGTAGAGCTATTTATGTTCCTTACATGCATATTGATAATTGGAATTTATCTATTTAATTTCTTTAGTAATTTGGGGCTTTGATTTTGCAATTTGTTGATTGTGGTGAGCTTTTGCAGTGGGGAAAGTGGAGCTGGGAAGACTGAAACAGCAAAGATAGCCATGCAGTATTTGGCTGCTCTTGGAGGAGGAGGCAGTGGAATGGAATATGAAATTTTACAAACAAATCCTATACTTGAAGCATTTGGCAATGCAAGAACAGCAAAAAATGATAACTCCAGTCGTTTTGTAAGCAACTGAGTCCTCCTCATCAATTTACTTGGTCACAATATCGATTATTTCACCATACAATTTGGACTGTTTTGAAGTATCACATATTGTTCATGTTACTTTTATAATTTTGTAGGGGGAAAGTTGATTGAAATTCAATTCAATTCAATTGGAAAAATATACGGTGCCAATATTCAAACATGTATGTATGGATGGTTTAATTTTTTTTATTTGATTTGAGGAATTTTCTCACTGTAAATTTATGTTCTTGGACTGAACTTCCTGAAATTGCTGCTCTGTATATGCGGCAGTTTTGCTGGAGAAGGTAAATCCTCTTTGCTTGCAAAATAAAATTTGTTTTTTCCATCTTGGTTTATGCCTGGTTGTAATTTATTATTTACATCCTTTTTCAGTCTCGAGTTGTCCAATGTGCACCTGGTGAACGCTCCTATCATATTTTTTATCAACTTTGTGCTGGTGCTTCAAAATCTCTAAGAGGTATGAAAGTTTCCTGAGATTTGTTTTTGGAAGATTTACATGTATATCACTCAATTCTTATCTATTTACATATCTGAACACCTGATTTTTAATTTTTTACATATATGCCACCTTACTTATGCATGAGAAGGTGTATTTCACCTTTTAAATGTTATAATAATGGTATTTTTGATTTGATATGAAAGATTTAGGCGGTATAAATGTAAAAAAAAGAGTAAATTTAGCTGTTAGACAGGTAAATACATAAGAATTGGGTGGTATCAATGTAAATGCTCCTCTACTTATATCCCCTTCTTTTGTCTAAGAGATGAGATCAATTCACACAATTAATTAATTCTCTCCCTATTCTTTTTTTGAAATTTCGACCGTGGAATCATTTTGGTTAGGTTCGTAGGTCGGGTTGAGGTCTGATCCAAATTGTCCTGAAGCACAATTTTTGACCCAAATATTAAACATGTTAGAAAGCCCAACCCAAAATAGACCCATCAGCACGCAAACCAGAATATGACTCGTATAACTCGTTTAACATAATACAACTATTTGTGTCAAAATGAGGTCAATTTAAGTAATTTTTGAGTTAATCCTGCTCAATTTTGGATTAACGGATTAATTTCGGATTAGTGGGCCAATCTGAACAAGACCCAAAAAATTAAACATGTCTGGGATAACTCGAACTCACTTTTTTCAAGTCAAGATTGGGTCAGATTCAGTTGGAAAGTCAATTTTTTGGTACCTCTAAATTCACAAGTAATTCATCATCAACTTATTCTAACTGGTTTATAAGTAGAAACGCCATTTTTTCTTTCACGTGATTCCAATAAAATAAGTTACTGTAGTTAAATTACATATTAAAATTTTTGACCCAAATATTAACTTTGATTGTCATATAACTCCTAAATTTTACAATCTTGAACCCTTTTTATCCCTAGTGTTAACTTACTTTCAGAAGAGGAAGGAGGTTGGTAGGTCTATCAAAATGGTTTGTTGTTCGCGAATAATTCGTGATCGGCTCATTAAGTATCTCATGTTTGATTTGTTTGCTAATCAAGTAAGTCGAAAATAAAATCTTTGTACTTGATATATAAACGAATCAAACACGAATAAAGATTTGTTTGTTCGTGCTTACTTAAAAAATGATATATTTTAATATATTAATTTGAAATATTGTTAAAAATATTAAATTGACTAGAAATTTACAACGATTTATAATCAATTAAAATTATTAATTAAAAATTAAATAAAAATAGATTAATATTTATTTAAATAAATATTTCAATTTAAATAATAAGAATAAATCTCGCCTCTACCCATAACATTCTACCACTGCATTAGCTAGTGTTTGACTCACTAAGAAAACAAGCTGAACACACAATTTTTTTTGTGCTTGCTGTATAAATTAGCAAAACACGAATAATGATATTTTTTAACGAGTTGAGCATGAGCTAAGCTTGAACTCGCTTAAGCTCGGCTCGTTTACACTCTTTGAGGTTGGAGCCTGGTTTGCTATGATGCAATGACACTTCTAATTAAAAACTAGTATAACGTCGGACAATTCTTAGACGCTGACACTTGTCTGACAAGCCTCAGATGAATAATGAACACGTCATTGATGTATTCAAATTAAATGATTTTAAAATATACAAGGGACATGCATGTCAAACATACGTGCTTTAAATTAATAAATTAATTTTTTTAAAAAAAAATTTATGGTATATTTTTTATAATTAAAATTTAAAAATATATATTTTTATTTTAAATCTTCAACTTTATTTGTCCAATTTTTTTCTGGCAGACGAGCTTGAGCAGCTCATGGGCATCTTAATTTCTGAAGAATAATGCTATTAAATTTTTTATTTTCTTTTTATATTATTCTTACCATTTTATATATTTCTTTAATATACATAGTTTTTATTATAATGACATTATCCTATATATACATATCTTATATTTTTAAGAATAAAAAAGTCAGGTGTTTGGACAGGTGCCGCATGGTGATTTGCTTGGTAGAGTGCGGTCCGGGTCGTTAACCAGAGCGAAGTTTCCTGTTAGGGAGGGCAAAAAAGGGTGTGTACGAGTAACTGCATTCAGAACGACGGAGGCGTGAACTTGAGAGGAGAAACGTGTGAAGCAGGAGGGATGGATATAACAAGCAGAGGACTGCGGGCAGTGTTGTGTGAAGGTGGAACGGGGTTCTGAAGGTTTGAATCCAGTTAGAGAAACATAAAAAGGGAGTTGGAGAAGGGTTCTGTGTGCTGAGCTGGGCCGGCAGCTTTGTTTGGTTAGTGGGCGGATGAAACCTGGAGCGCTCGATTTTAGGAGAGTGTGAGAGATTGGGAATCACGGAGGAGTTTTGGTTGAAGCAGAGGAGTAGGAGGATGGTTCGCTGCTGGAGACTATGAGATCGCCGACGAGAGGTTGGCAAGGAGGATGGAGGGGAAATCGACAGTTCGGCGGCGTGAACGAGAGAGGGGAAGGCGATGGGGGCTGCGAATAGAGAGGGAGGTGCACTGTGAGAGGAGCTATGAGCGTGCGGGAGAAACAAGAAGGAGAAGAAGCACATAGGGAGCCGGAAGGAGAAAGAAAGCACTATGTCACCTCCCAAAAGAGCCCTTATGGGTGGTGGGCAGCCCAAAACTTAAATACTGTTTTTCGGTCCTTCACCTAGCCGATGTGAAACTATTTCTCCGTTACATTTTCCTCCACCCAATCACGTGACGCCCTCGTCACAGATCGGCTCCTCCGAGGGTCTCATTGGACCATGGAGAGTCCACACACCTGACAGACAATAATCTGCTCTGATACCACTTGTCACCTCCCAAAAGAGCCCTTATGGGTGGTGGGCAGTCTAGGACTTAAATACTGTTTTTCGGCCCTACACCTAACCGATGTGGGACTATTTGTCCGTGACAAGTAGCTATCTTGGAGGACAATTAAATCTTTTTATTCTCTTTGTTTGATTAGGTGAGACTAGGGGTATAAAAGAATGAGTGGAGTCGAGTTTGAGTAATCCTCAGCTTGAGTTAGAACTTAATTAATTGAGTTCGAGTTCGAGCTCGAGCTTAGTTCTACTGTTCAAGCTGGCTCACGAGCTGATTTCTTTACTTTGATGGTAAAAAAAATGATATTAATTGAGTAAATATGAAATAAAAATAATAAATCATTTGATATAAAATATAAAATATCATTTTAGAAATCATTTTAATAGGTTAAAGGTAAAGTAAATTTTAATATATTTTGAGTATATTTCATATAAAGATTTTTTTAAAATGAGTTAGTTCTAATGAGTTGAGTTGGAGTTGGTTTGAGTTTGACTTGTTAGCTTATCGAGCTCCACTCATGAGCCACTTATCGAGTCAAGTTCAAGTTCGCTAGGCTCGTTTATACTTCCAGGTGAGATGAGCGGCAGAGATAGTACCACACACACACACACGCACACACACTTTTTCTGAACATTTTCAACAATGGAGGTCCCTTCCCCCCGACCCTTCACCATGACATTTGGCAGCTAAACAATGACTTGAAACACATATTTTTTCTCTTAATTAATTCCCTCAAGTCTGTGCATAAAGAGATTATAATATATTATTCTACTAAGATATATCTGAGGAAAGTTTCTCTCAGCTCTTTAGAATCTTCTAAGTCCAGTCGTAAACCTTTTTTTTATAAAAATGGAATGAATTACTATAGTTGTGTAGATGGAAAAATAACCTATTCTGTAGATTTACCTTTGGTTACTAACAGCAGTTTATGATTGGTCTCCTTATGCTTCTCAGTATCACATTTATTTTATGCATGAATAAGCCACTATTTATCATAAAATCATGTTAATATTCATGGTTTTATCTGTGGCAACATACACAATTGGGGATTATTAAATTTGTTCTTCTTTTGAATTCTGTAATTTTCACTGTTGCACTTTTGCACTTCTACTGAGCTTCTGATCTTTGAAAACAGAGAAGCTGAATTTGAAAAGTGCGGAAGAGTACAAATATCTGAGACGGACCAACTGCTTCACAATCAGTGGAGTCAATGATGCTGAAAGGTTTCGCTCCGTGCAGGTACTTAAATATTATTATGCTATTTGTAGGATGAGATTACTAATTAGAAAGATTTACATGCATACTACTCAATTCTTATGTATTGACATATAAACTTTAATTTTTACATATTTGCCCTTCAATTTTTTTTTAAGTTAAAATGGTGATATTTTTTGTGATATAAAAGATTTGGGTGGTAAAAATGTAAAAAGCAAAATGCCCTTTGAATTTGATAGAAATTTTTAACTGTTTCAGGATGCTATGAAAGTTGTCCACATCAGCGAAGAGCAGCAAGAAGAGGCATATACAATGCTTGCCACAGTCCTATGGTTAGGCAACATCTCTTTTTCGGTGATTGATAATGAGAACCATGTTGAAGTTGTTGCAGATGAGGGTAAGTAATTACACTGTGCGCTTGTTATATTTAAAATCTACCTTTACATTTGCAATAATTTCCAATGAGAAAGAATTCTTGATATGATATAATTAACTTTTAATGGACTATTTAGAAATGGTAATTTGCATACTTTTCCAAAAACCAATCCTGTAATTTGAAATCTCCAATTTTTTTAGTTTTTTGGACACTTGATCTATATTTTTGATATTATGCATTCTTGTTTCAGCTGCTATCACTGTATCTAAATTACTAGGGTGTGAAATCCTGGATCTAAAGTTAGCTCTATCGACTCGCGAAATGAGAGTTGGAAATGACCATATTGTTCAGAAGCTCACTTTATCTCAGGTGGAAATCTTAATAATGCACCAACATGGCACACAATTCTTATGTATTTACATATTTCACACCTAAACTTTCATATTTACATGCTTAGCATTTTGGTGTGCTTCAAAACATATGCATGAAAAGATATATTTCACTTTTAAAAAAGTGATAGTGGTGTTATTTCTTATGTGTATGTATGTGAAAGTTTAGGAGTGAGATATGTAAATACATTAGAATTGTGTGTTGTGTTTGTAAATGCCCCTTTCTTATAACTTTATTAGAAAATGACATAAGAAAATTTTGCTTTTTTCTTAGGCAATTGATTCTAGGGACGCACTGGCGAAGTCATTGTATGCCAGTCTATTTGACTGGATTGTGGAAAATGTTAACAAGGCAATTGGAGTTGGGAAGCTAAGAACAGGAAGATCAATTAGCATTCTTGATATTTATGGTTTTGAATCTTTTGACGTGAGTAAAGCTTGCCTTTTTTAGCAACTTTGTGTACATGTAACTATTGTTATTTCTAATTTTTATTTTGCAGAGAAATAGCTTCGAACAATTTTGCATAAATTATGCAAATGAACGGCTGCAACAGCATTTTAATCGTCATTTGTTCAAGTTGGAACAGGAGGTACAGTTTTTTTTTCCATTTAATGGTAGCATGAACATATTTACAGGTGAAGGTTGAATTGATAAACTAATTCTCCTCGACATGATGAGTCTTATCAATTATAAATGTGATGATTTCTGTCTGCTTGGAATATTATGCGTTGGGAATAAAATGTTCTGAAATATTTTGATCATCAATTATTTTGGATATTGCCTTGGCACTTCAACTGCTTTATTAGATTGAATTTTTCTTTGATTTGATCCTAATTTGAAGTTTTTTAGGCTTATTTCTAATAATGATCGAGTTTATTATAATTTTATTATTATTATTATTATTATTACCGTACCACCTCCATGCTGGCTTTTACCGGCCAGCCAACCCATCTCCTCCACTTGTAGTCCAGCCACCCTCTTTCCC